GCTGTAAATGAAAGTAACTACAGACCGAATAAAAGTTTAATGCGAATCAATATTTTAATGATCACAACTGACGTGTTGTAATTTGTTTGTATAAGTATTCCACGTAGAATTTGTACATAACTATTTGAAATTTCAAAATCGAAGCCGTCATAATAATATGTTAATAATAGTTAATAATAATAGTTAATAATAATATATCTGATTTGATATATTAATTCTTGTCGCTAGTACATCAATGTTTTGGTCAACTCGGTCTTTATTTAAAGCATCCGACCTTTTTTGATACGACGTATACAACGGATGTAAATATATATCAAATCTCGGTTTGAACCTTGAACCTTGAGGTCATAAGTGACAATACTTGCGATACCTTGACCTCAAACAGAGATCCATTCACCTACACCAAGAATCGCTGTCAAGCAAATTAGGGTCATCATGTCCAAAACGTTGATGTCGTAATTTAACATGCAAAATATTTTAACCAATCTTGAGTAGAATTGGATTCTGGGATAGTAAATGTAACTGGTTATAGTAGCGATCAGAAATGCTGAGAATCAGATTCAGAAAGACGAGTTCATTGAAAAAGTTCTTTTCATTACGTAACAGTGTGCAATAATAAATGACCATATTTAAAACAGTGGTACGTAAAGAACAAGGCTCACGTTCACGTTCATCTCATGCATCACAAATAATTTTGTGGTGAATATTTGGCCATCGCAAATACATATACAAATTTTATTTATTAATTTTCTAAAAAGTTTTACACGAAATGAGTTGAAAACGTTAGAACAATGAATATGGTCATTTATATGGTCAAATCAATACTATGTAATAAATTATCGTTATACACAGGCTTGACTGTACCGATTAAGAAAGGGCAGCTACATGAAATGCATCGAATCCACCCATTCACGTTTGTTTGGGTCGTCCATATCATTCATTTCATTCTAATCACGAAAGTTGTGCTTTGAATGAAGGAGTGGACATTTGGCTACTTCGCCGTCATGGAGGGGGGGGGGGAGTAAACAGTATGGTCCCGTTTCTTCATATCTGTTTAGTTTATCACTGGGAACTCGATGAATTTCAACACGCTCGAGACTTTATTTATTTAACCAAATACTGCTTGAAGGAAAAAACTGTGCTTTCTCTGACGATCACACCTGCTTTATGTTGGTCGACTTTTTCAAATTTATTTTGACTATTAGGCAGTTTTCATATTTTTCCTGACATTTCTGTAATCAAAATAAAACTTACATATTATGGATGGGCAATTGTAAGCCACATAATAATACACCTTTCTGGTGACATGTTCGATTACATAACAATAGCATTGATACGGTCTCGTGATCTGACAGTAACATGAGGCAGAATTGTAGCAGCGCTGTTTGAACGCATTCCCATCGAAAACTTAATTTGGCTATGCGGCAAATCTTCCCATCCAAAGGCTTATGTGAGCTGCATTATTACGGTGAAATCCCCTTGTCAATCAGTTCAATTTAAAATTTCTTATCGTGTTCAAATTCTCGTCATTTGATCATCATTCTGGCACATGGCGTCTCATTTCAAAAATGCAAAGAATTTGCGTTAACGGACAATACGATTTAACGAATCATGACTCAATTAATGTCGTTAGAATGAAAACAAGTCACTTTCGTAGAAACTCAGATGGAATTTACATTTGTTAAAATTGCGATAATGAGTGATATTCCGATCCGCTACTGACATCGAAAATATTCTATGGTTGTAAATCGGTTTAGTTGTAGTTTTAATCTTCGCGACCCCAGCGTCACTGTCTTAACTTTTTGTTAAACGCTTGCTTGACTTGTGCGAGCATACAATTTAAGCATACATATTTAAGCAGCTTGGTGGTGACAATTTTATTTTCATACTGAGAAAGGGTGACGATGTGTGTTTGACCATGTCGTATTATTATCACTTGTCAGCCCACTCTCACTGTCTCCGATCATCGGCACACTGTTTTCAACTTAGGTACGATCAAAGCAAATACCACAACCATGTCAGTAATTGCAATAGTCTTGTATTGTTGGTTTTAACTGTAAGTGAAAGAACAGATTAAAAGATTCGGTGTAGGACTTTTGGAAAACGGATAATTGCGACTCATAAAACTCATGAAATAAATTGTTATGTGCATTGGCGACGACCAAATTGTTTCGACTATTATGTTAAATATTCACTTGTAAAATTGATTGTAATGGTTGGAAAATGTCGTTCAAACTATAAAGCAAAAATAATATTTGGTAGAACAGGGAATGTAATCTAATTTGTGCTCAATGTACGTAAACGCGAGCTTTGTTCTCTACTTACAGCTGTTATAAAAATGGTAATTTATTGCACATTGTTACGTAATAAAAAAAAACTTTCAATAAACTCGCCTTTTTGGTTACACTCTGAGTTTGTTTTTTAGCGTCTCTAATCATTTCTCAGACTAGTTAAATTTAGTATCCCAGAATCCAATCCTACTCAAGATTCGTTAGAATAGATTTCATGTTAAATTCATCACTTCGGGAAAAATACGACAACGAAGTGTGTGAATTCGTTATCGTATTATTCCCGTAAAACAATCTAATACGAATGTTAATTATGAAGAATATCAATATCAAATCTCACTATATTTTATTTTGCAAGTGCATATCAAATGTAACACCAGTGCATTCGATGCATATTTTTGCAGAGAACAGTTATGTTGTCTCATATTATTAGATACTGGCTAAAGATCCTGAGTCCCGGTCACTGGTGGTAGCCTAGTAGTCAGACTCATGGTCGGTAGAAGTTTAAATCCTACCTTAGGCTGAACATCAAAAGGGTCAACCCCTACCCTGCGTGAGTCTCAATGGGAAGGCCTATTCCACTGGTCGAGATTCATTCACTCACAAATGCGACTTTGGGGGAACCTTGGTTAAGGTCCGCAGGTGCTTTTGTTCGATAGCGCATTAGAATAGTCATTTGATAGAGAGATGGCCACACATCCCTGTCATGTAGTCCAAAACATGAATATGACTTCAGTGACAAAAATGCGCTATGTGTCAGCACTAGCGCTTGCAATTTGCACATACAAAAAAAGTCAGCAGAGACAACAGGAACTGTCGCCTGGCACAAAAAAAAAATCCTTGATCATGACAAGACGTCATATATTAAATGCTGCTATAACTCCCAATTTGAATAGGCCGAAAAGTGTTACAAGTGCTGGACAAATAATGTAAAGAACCAGCATTGGCAAGGGGTCAGCAATGTACATATCTTTCTGTCCACCTTTAAACAAGTCTGCAATACAAGCCTTACACATATTTCTTAGACAAATACCTGATTTTTTAGAAGTTCCTTGTACATCTTTTGTATTTCTAGTCGTAGATTACACACCGTGAACTGTAGTAACGACACCAATCCAAATGAAGGCAACGATATCTGTTTTACAGTATGTTGAAGATGATTATCATTTTTCTTGAGAATGAATTATGTACCGTGATGGAGCTATGGTTTTCATGATAACATGAGACAGTAGTTTAAAGAAACTATCATTTGCCAACTATTATTAAGACAAATTACTAAACTTAAAAAAAAATATCAAACCATAATTACATTTGTATCACCTTTTAAAAGCCCGAATTGTGGAATATTCAAGATAAAAACAGTGTCCCCATCAACCATGATATGTAATTGTTTTCACCATATGCCACGAGGCTACTGTTTGCGCTATGCCAATATTAATCTCATCAGAGGAACAAATAGTAAAGGCATTTTAATATTAATAAAGTATAACAATTTTCCCGACAATTAGCCTGTTCTTTTCACGCTGTGTTAGAGTCAAGATCTTTGTATTATAAGGAAATGCAATTAATTGCATAATGGATAAATTGGGCGTATTCTAATTTGTTTACAAACAACTTTACGTGTGTTTCACAGATATCTTGACATCAAGATCGTTCTGATGCGATAGTAAAGTTATTTACTCTAACCAACTATTTGGTAGACGGAGTATATGAGCTAGTTTGGGTTAGTTCGACCATGACTCGGATTACTTCGTACATGATTCGGATTACTTCGTACATGACCCGGGTTAGTTTGTCCACGACTCATGTTAATTCGTAAATGACTCAGGTTAGTCACGTGAATCGGTGTTCTTACAATACTACATGTAATTTGTTTTCATTGGATTTGACCATCAACTTGCACATTTGTTGTCATTTTCAGTGCGATTGCTTCTGTTCCAACAAATATATCTCATCCTAACATTCATGCAATTCATGTTAATATTAAACTTGATAATACTTAATTCCCGGGCAGCAATTTCTAGTGTACGTGGATGAATCTGTATTCCGGGTCAAAGTACACATACACATTTATTATACTTAAGATCTCTAAACCTCGAAGTTTGACACCCACAGTAGCAACATTTCATATACAGATATAAATCAGTCTTGTCTGTCTCTGCTGAGACATATATTTCATATCATATTCTAGTTCTCCCGTATATTATGAGGTTATTATGACGATACCTCAAAGAATACACGAAGACAGTACAGCGCGCGGGAGTATCGACTGACGCACAGCGTACTGTTTGAGTGCATACTTTGAGATATCCTCGTAATAACCTTATTATTATTCTACATCTTTACCTTCCAAGGTTAATAATGGGAATGCCGAAATACAAAAAGTTGAGAACGGAATAAGCAAACCTCTTTGTATGGAGTCCGGTAAAATCCTGGTGGCAGCCATGCTTGTTTTTATTATTAGAGGACGCTTACGCGCGTAGTCATTTCATATTTGGAATTCGAATTTCCTTATATGGTAGAATGAAAATACACCGTAAAAAAACGCAAAATTATGGCACGCTGTAACTTATAGCGTCATGGTGACAGGTATATAATACATGTACGTCTCATGGGACCCGCATCAAATGAGGTCGGATGCCGTAAATAAAGACTGGGTTGAACAAAACATGAATGTACAAGCGACAAGAATTAACACATCAAAAGTCAAAATTCTCTCAGATAATATTAATTTAATTTAATGACGGCTTTAAGGGGAATATCTAAAATAGGTATGTACAAATTCTACGTGGAATACTATAACAAACAAAAAATGTCAACACATATGTTCCTGTCAATACAATGATGATTTGAATTAATCTTTCATTTTGTCTCTAGTTACTTTCATTTATAACAAAACATTGGGATATTCGTGCGACAGTCAAGTAGTGCATAAATTCTACATCAAAAAATTATTTTCGGCATGCAACTCGCTAATTTGTGGGTGCCACTCTTCCTATTGTGCGATGTTATAGTGTTCATTATAATACACGTCACGAGTCGGTTCAGCCAATCATCGTAGGGGACTCCGGACTTAGCTGCAATCTACTATACCTTTCCAAACAGTACATCCTGTTATGAATAAAAAACGTGATATTGTTATTAAACATTAAATCATACAATTTCTTCCTTAAACATGAAAATCGTCTTATTCAGATGTTCATTACAGATGTTAATTACACATACTAATAATTCATATAGGAACTTTGTCATAAGCATAACAATAGCGTATACCCTTACTGAGGCCTAATACGTGAGTTGAGTGAACATGTATATGAATATTAAGGACTTACCTCTCTTGGAGTTTGCCTTTTTCTCCAGTCTCTCTTTTACAAATTCATCAAACAATTCATCAAGTGTTGTCCTCTGTGTAAAATATAACACACAATTATTTAGTACGAGCAGAAATGAATAATTAAGATATTCAAGTTGTGAATCCGCTTGTACGAGAACCACAGTTGTTTATTTGATTGAAAGCTATCGGCGAGGGCGTATTAACATGAGATCAAGACACAAATAACACTATTTCGTTTTAAAACACAGTAAAAAGGCGATATAAATAACTTTGAATATTTACGCAAGTTCTGCATTTTTATTTACACATATACGATATCGAAACGCATTTCTAAACACACTGTTATCTACAATGTAAGTTTAAAGCGTTACAATTGTTGTGCAATGCTGCAGTCGTTAAATAGCGCCACGGACGTTGTGCGCTAGAATTTCTTTCAAACAAACAATGCATTTTACACGCGTTTCGATGTCGTATGTGACTAACATCAAAGACGAAGCTTCGTGTAAACCACCGATTAATTAAGGACAATGTACACAGTTAACGACGAACAATATGAAACATCTCTGACATAATAACTGGCGCTTCTTACTTTCTCTGAGAATGTTGAGCATTGGAAGTAAAATATTAGTCATGCAGTAAAATATATAATATAACCTTAGTAGATAAATATTTTTGGTCCGTGTATGAACATTTTGACACACCTCATTAGTGGATGTATAGTCACAAAAGCTGTGTTAATTTCACATTTAAGATTTGTATTTGTCATTTAAATATTTGTATTACATATGTGAATCCTCGGATATCAGACTGTATACTACTGTAAAACATGTTGAAAAAGCGGCATGCAATTGTAGCGAATTGTGGTAAAATGACGTAATAGCGTAATGTTGATTTAGCGAATGTTATTGTTGATTTCTTTCTTTGGCAGCCATTTTGAATTGATAAAACAGTCATTAGCGACATCTTGAATTAGCGAATCAGTTCTCTCGCTAAATTCACGAAAAAGACATGCTCGTGAAAAAGACATGTTTTACAGTAAATGCAAACAACCGATTACAAATAGTGTGTCTTAGCCATAGACCCCAAAGCTATAAATTTAAAAACTTCATTTTTTATATATATTTGGTCGATGCAAATATAAAAAGAATGTCGGTAAATGGTTATTTTAAATGCAATTAAATCAAAGTATATTATCGACAAGTAAACTGCCCTGATTAATTTGCAAAAACTTCACCTAACCCTGAGTATGTTGAGATAACCAATTCCTTACCTCGTCATTTTCTGCATCCTTAGATTCATGGCATGTTACCATAACAACCAACGCACATATCGTGAGGAAAAACACAAACTTCATTTTGGGTTCCGTTGTCGAATACTTGTCCCTGTATCTCTGAGTGATGTAGTCTCGCAGAATGAACCGTTAGAGTCGACGATTCGGGGTTTTTATAGATGGATGTGCGTGCATGATGAATAAACAATGTTTCCGGTTTAACATGGACAACTACTTATTAATTACCCCAATTGGAGAAGTGGGATTCTTGTCTGACAATAGCGATAATGATCATGGCATTGAGAGGCACCCCTCTGTATACACTATTGTTTAATTATTCGTACAAACCTATTAAAACATCAATATAATGACGTTTATATTCATGTTCATTTGTGTCTTTTAACAATAGCACAAAAAAAAAGTTTTGCTAAATTTAAGCAGAAATATGTTAATTGTCTTCTGTATGGTCTCAACACTTCTAAAATAACACACTTTTTCATAACACGTTATGCTCAGCCCGTGTGGCAGTGGTTACTGAGACGATCAATGCGAGCCCGGTTGCGGTAATAATGCAATTTGTAGTTAATGTAAATTATGTAAATTTATTTTTCAAGGCAAACTTATTTGATTTTGATTAATCAAAATAAATGAGATTTTGTTGTATCAGTACCATCCCATGTTTTCTGACTCGATATTATTTCAAATATATGAGTTGGCGACCCCTAAAAAAACATCTTGAATTCATAGACGGTCCACCTGTCGATTGGATGATTGATATACTCTGCTTTGACAGTACCGATTATGAACTATCAGAAAATTGCGCAACAATCTTCCAACACCCATATACGAATCGCAAACAGAATTTATTAAAAATAGGCAAATTAACAGAATAATGTGTTGTACATGTACAATACCATTTAATGCATTGTGGTTACCATTCATGTATGCATGTACGCCTCATTAGCGAGGGTTCTTCCGATAGATTCGTTTGAGAAAGTAAATCATCCGAACCACTGACTTTGAACTGAGCGTACGTAAAACGTATACATTGATTTCCAAGACTGCATATTTCAACATATTGTAATATTTCAAAATACTGTAATGCACCTCATGCTAATATTGATATGAAATATTGAGATAATTATGAAATGGTTTTCCACTGAAAATGCGATTTGTCCCGAACCGAGTGGGCATAACTATAGTCTCGTCTCAGGCTCAAAGCAACGACGATAATCATTTTGCCAGCCCTGTGTTGCTAATGACCGTCGACGTTTTCTTGCATTTTTTTATATACTGGACTTGTCTGTGTTGTTTAAATCCCATTGAAATTGGTGCAAATATATACCAAGGAATATATCCCTGGACATTTATCTGTAAATGAGTTCATTTAACTAATAAATGCAATTAAAAAGTATAAATGCATATTTTTTTACGAATCAGAGATATGTGGAAAAATAAAAGTCGTTGAAGTCACAATGGTTTTAGACCGCTCCTTATACCATAACTTGTCACGTGATTTCTAGCAACAGTGTCGTCAGCCACTCCGGTTAAACAGATTTTTATTGTGAATAAAAGCTTATCATATACCACAAGATAACGGATAATATAGATGACAATAGTCCCGTGATATTTTATGATACAAGCACGGTATAAAGTGAGCTTTTTCAAATGACGCCCTTCTTGTATGATTTTGACGGGATTTTCTGTTGCCCCTAAAACGTGTTGTTAGTATAAATCAATGGATGCGAATGAAAACTTATCAGCTGAACGTTTAGAATTACGTAAAAAACAGTTCAGAAATAAGTTTATGGGTTTCATCGGTCGAACAAGTGAAAACGTGAAGTTAGAATAATTCAGCGCAAGTTAAGAAAGCAGGTAGGGGAATATGAAATGGCCTTAGACCTATGGTGTTTTCATTCTAAGTAAATGAGAAATTCATTTTCACCCGCGCTACGAATGCTGTGATAATACGATTACATTCATCGCACACAAATGAAATGAATACAGTTTTCAACATTTTACTGTATAACCAATGTTTGAAAACGGACCAGTGCGCTTCCGACGCTATTCGACGTTGGTGAATTGGTATACTCGTTAGACTGACTGGTCAAGTTCTGGCAATAGAATAATTAATTTAAAAACATCTTTGGTTTGGAAACGAAATTAAAAAACAATTTTCCCCCAGATTTTACTACTCCATTCTTATTAGTAAAAGAAATAGTCTTAAACAATAAGATTTCTCGGGTTCAAATTTCTAGAGTTTAGAAATAAAAAAAGACACTTTAGTAGAAAATATGGTGTAATCTTTTGTTATGTGATATTTCGCATCTGCTAAGTGTCTCACCAGGCTTTGTGTGGATACAAATTAGTTTATTTCTATTGTGTTCTTCACAACTACAGTGATGATTGCGACAAACTAAAAAAAACTAAAAAAATGATATGTGTATTGGTTAATAAGTTTGGAAAAATATCTGTCCTTTATTGATAACAATGTGTCAGATGTTCTCTGTACAGATTTGGTATTTCTAATCATAGATCGCACATCGAAAACGGTAGAGCAGACAATCCAAAAGAAAGCAGACTCTGCTCTCTATGTGGTTTAGATAGAAAGTTGAAGATGAATTTCATTTCAGTTGCGAATAATTTGAGAATAAAAATCTTCCACTTCCTATTACAAATACCCATTTTATCAGACAAATATTTCACTTTTTAATTCCTACTATTCTGCTGTTCGTCTGTCTTATATCCATGTACATATGCATATTTGTAAAATTGACCAAATATTATTTGAAAAATACCATGAGGTTATTACGAGGATACCGCAAAGTATGTACGAAAACAGTACAGCGGTAGTATGAACCGACGCGCAGCAGAGATCGATGCGATCGTGTACTGTCTATTATACATCTTTTACTCCCATCATGGGAATGCCGAAATCCAAAAAAATTCGAACAGATTTAGCGAACTTCTTTGTGTAGTGTCCTGTCAAACCCAGGGAGCTGTCATATTTCTTTTTATTATTAGAATGCTGTCCATCACTCAGTTTAGTTGGTGCATGACTTAGGTTAGTTTGTACATGACTCGGATTAGTTCGTCCCTCACTCGGGTTAGTTTGTACATGACATGGGTTAGTTTGTACATGACTCGGATTAGTTCGTCCCTCACTCGGGTTAGTTTGTACATGACTTGGGTTAGTTTGTATTTTGCTTGGGTCAGTTTGTACATGACTTGGGTCAGTTTGTACATGAGTTGGGGCAGTTTGTATATGACTCCGATTAGTTCGTCCTTCATTCAGGTTAGTCCCTACATGACAAATATTCAACCACTTGCAGTATTTGCGTCAGAATGCTCTTGTTACGACTAATATTTCTCCTCGTAAAATGTATCAGCAGTGAATTCTAATGTAAGTGTATGTATCTGTATTTTGAAAGTTTCGAGTAAATACATATGCTGACACACGTTGTAGAACTCACATTCGACCCAGCGATGGAATGGCTAAAATATAGACCAAGTTTAAAAATAACAAAACATGAATGAACTAGCGACAATAATTGGCACATCAAGTATGATATATTTCTGATAATATTAATAATTTAATGACGGCTTTGAGTGGGATAATATAAATATGTACAAATTGTACGTGTAATGTTATTACAAAAATGGCAACAGTTCTGATTTTCATTAGTAATTTATTCAGTCTATATTCACTTTCATTTACAACAAAAATGAAGATATCTGCGAATGTGAAGACGTGCCTATATTCTACATCCAATAAAAATATTTTCTACATGCAATCTCATATTAATTAGTGGGTGTCACTATCCTTTTTTCGTGGAGATATATTGTTCATTATGATACACGTCACTAGTCGGCTAAGCCAATCATCGCAGGGGAGTCCTGACCTAACTGCAATCCACTATACCTTTCCAAACAGTACATCCTGCGTTGAAAAAAACAACATAATATTGTTATTACACATTCAATCCTGAACATGTTTTCTTAAACTTTTAAATCGCTCTATCTAGATGCATTGCGTTTATGTAAATTGTTAAAACAGAAGCTATAATAAACTGGTACAGAACAGAACATGTTATGACCAGGACAATGAAAGATACATATACAGAGAACATGCAATATGTTGTTGTATTTCCTAACATGCATGTTGCGTATATCAACGTATTGTTTTACACATCCAAACACGATGATTTTATATCTCTATTCTGTAATTATCATGTATTTATGCATCATAATTTTACCGATATTATTTATTATGCTTTGAACAAGACGAATGCACTGTGTATGAAGTTGACTTAGTGCTTTGCTGAAATTCACTGTCTTTGTAAAGATTTAAATATACCCTATAATGAATCAAGAATATTAAGGACTTACCTCTTTTTGAGCTTGCCTTTTTCTCCAGTCCCTCTTCAACGAATTCATCTTCAAGTGTTGTCTTCTGTGTAAAAATAAATAATTGAGATCACAAGAGTTGGCGTTTGCGATTCAAGATACGCCCCCCCCCCCGCTGGCCCGGGAACCGCAGTTGTTGATTGAAGGCTAACTGTGAGGGCGTATTATTAACACATCAGAGCGCGAATAACATCAACATTATTTAGTTCTAAAACACAAATTGAAAAGGCAATATACGTAAGATTAAATATATGTATAAGTTCTGCATGTTTATTTGTGCAAAAAGCGATATCGATGGTAAAAGTACCGTTAGTCTATCATGCAGTTTAAAACTCCACAATCTTCGCATCGCGTTGTCGTTGTATAGCGCCACAGACGTCGTAGATTCGAATTTCGCGTAAATAAACAATTTATTTTACATGGGACCAACACGATAACCACCAAAATTAATTATAACCGCGAACAACACCAATTTCGGCCAAAATATTGAGTTTTATTATACCAGTCTTGCAATCATAAGATATGTGTGACCCCCATTACCGGATACACACATAAATGAGACAGGAGAGTCGTTTGGAAACATATACCATATAAAGATAAGATTTATTTAAGACGCTGATCTAGAATTTTGACGATAGCTTTCGCTGTGTTTGTTTCACACTTGATACTTATATTTGTCACGCATTGCATATGGGAATACACGAAATCATTTATGTATAATAAATGCAA